CCATAAAAGTTTAACATAAGATTTTTTAAGTACAAAGATGATCGGATTAATTTATACTAGCCAGCAGTATGACGAATAATGTTAAGCTTAGGTTTACAGCATCACTCATTTCATCAATAAAAATGATAGACAAAATAAATACGATAAATAAAAGCAATTAATGGCATATAAAGAAACCAACCGTTCGAAATTGGTTACAGGCTTTAGTATCCAGCAGTTCAGAATCCTTGATGCAAGGCAGTGATCGTTCAAAGTTTATTTCAGGCCTTCCATTATTCATCGGTTCATCAGTACCAGAATTTTGTCCTGTACCCGAAGATGACGGTGCGCAGGCACCTCCAGAGGGAAACGATTGATTGCGTTTATACAAGAACTCTACAATAAGAGGTAGGATAACCTTTCTAGTTACACACATATTTCCAATAATCGCAGCAAAAACGTGATTGTTGAAATGATCTAAGCTATTTGAGATCTTTGCATTAAGACAATCATCGGAGGTTAAATCGGCCTTGGCAAAACGTGAGGATGCATCAAAAAGGACAGGTTTTAGCTCCAAACCGGAACTATGGCGGCAAAGATGATCTATAAGCTAAAGCAGCAATAGGTAAAAGGAAACAATTATGTATACAATAAAAATCCGCAATGGACAATATGATTTACTTGATCTCTTAACGTATCCTGATGGTCCGTTGAGTAAACAATGATTGCACGACGTGATGGAAAGAAAGGAGAATGCAAGCTAGAAATAGTTGAATTACGGCATTCTGTGGGCTCCGCACTTTGGAGATAGGTATTTTCATTTCGTGGAGTTCCAATAGCGATGCAAACTAACAGAGGAGCTGTATGAATATCACAAAATCTTCTAGCGGCCGAAAAAAAATCAGGAGCGCTAATAAGTTCCTAAAATCAAAATACGGATATAAATATAAGATAAAAGATTAAAAATTTAAAAAGTGATCGCCTCACCTCAAAATCAAGACCAGAGATCGTAGAGCATATAATGTTAAAGTTCGAATCAGTAGATGAGCATGCTAATTTCATATCTCTACGCAATAAATCCCATGTTGAAAGACCTAAAAATATTTCACACGTGAAAAATATTCTCACCTCCAGTGTCAAATTTTGCTTTTTGTAAATTTAAAAACATTATTTCCCTTGTAGGATCTATCTCAAATAGCTCATCCCCCATTCTTTCTTCTAAAGAGACGGCAACGTTATAATCTAAATCAGTAAGGCGGCCAGATGCTTTCCCAGCAGGAGATAAGCCAATAGTATCAGCTAAAATCGCACCTGAGCAATCAAATGTAATAGCCAAATATACCATAAAGAAGCTTCATAAAAAGATAAGGTATTCGTATGCTGTCTTTCATTAAGATATCAGCAACCAGACTGGAACAAGAGCCAACTGGCTTCACCAAGAGAAGATTAAATCTATTCATTTCCTCTTCGGGAACGGAAAGACGATGGTGATCAATAATCTCAATAACGCAAGGGGAAAAGCGTGTTAAAGAACCAGTAAGGACGTTGTGATCCACAAGACATATTTGCACATTTGTACGAGCAATCTCATCCTCGATAAAAGGTATATCATCCAAATATATTAATGAAGTCCAATCAAGGCGGCATTGAGTCAGCCAATAAATAACATCGATTCTCAGAGGCATATCACACCTCTGTATATTGCACAGTGGAATCACACTAATTTCGTCTCCAAGTTTCTTACGTAAATTTTTTAAACAAAATACTTACAAGATGTTTATAAAAAGCGTAGCTAAGTGAGCAGGCAGTACTATCAAGGTCGTTTGCCTCATTCCCAACGACAATGAGCATTGGCGCAATTTTTTCATGTTTCTATTTATCATTAAGTGCTTTTATTTAACTCACTAATTTATATTTTGCCAAAGACAAAAATGAGGCTACTGCACTTTCGTGAAGAGAACTCATTTCTATACTCCACGTAAAGACCGCCTTCTAAAGAGATATTATAAACTATTTCGCTTCATTTAATGTAGTACGGTTACTAAAATATAAATGTGCGTTACTGAAGCAATAAATTATTTTTTGCAGTGTGTAATGTTTATTTAA